CTGCTATCAACGCTTGCACAATTAAAAAGAAACGCTGGCATTGACACTACTAGCAATACCAAAGTGGAGTTTAAACGAGGCACTGCCATCAACCGATTCAACTTCCAATGAAAGAAGATCACAAATGAGTTCACTCTGAAGTGACCCATGGGTATCAATGCGAGAAGTCTCTGCAAACTATTCACTCATGGCGACCGCCGCGCACACGCGTGTAGGAAATCGTTGATGATGATAGTGATAATGGAGTGGGGGCCAGTAATGCAGATACACTGCTGTGCATTCACTTGCTGCGAAAAGAAACTCTGTATGAATGAGTTGATATATAATGAGTTGTCCACAAACGAGACACTGCTATCAACGCTTGTATAAGTAAAAAGAAACGCTGCTATCGACACTTCCCCCAATACTAAAGTTGTCTTTAAACGAGTCACTGCCATGAACGGCTTCAACTACAGTGTAACGAAAGGAACTGCAGGCTGAGAAGCACCGCAGGCCAACGTGAACCAGTCGTGGTGATGAGGATGAGTGAAATCTGCGATGATGATAGCGATCATGAAGTCGGTTGTAGGAACCCACTTTTGTAGTAACCAACATACACTGGTATGCATTCACTTATGGTGAAAGGAAACTCGGTATCAGTGAGTTGATATAGAATGAGTTGTCCGCAAACGAGACACTGCTATCAACGCTTTTAGAACGAAGCGAACCCATCAGAACACTGTTATCAACGGAAAGAATGCTGTAGAAGGACAAAGCGCTGAATGTACACCGATGTGTTCGACGACTGCGTATGTAATGATGTGACGATATACAGACTGAGCCCTTCGTGAATGTCTACATGTTTTTCTGACGCCTACAAACGGCGCTGACGTGTGTGAGAAAATTGTCCGCGCAGCAAAAGCCGGCGAAGCGTGCAGACAGCCAGCTGCAAAAGGTTGCGAGCGGCTCTTGGAAGACGTTTACGGAACGGAGCTACGGTGTCTGAAAACATTGGCATCGAAGCGAAGAGCCTCGGAGCCCTGCAGCCTGAGAAACACCGCAGGAACTCGCATACTGAAAAGGAATGCATTGCAAACCGCACGTTGCGAACCCTGCAGGCTGAGAAGCACCGCAGGATGTCGCATGCTGAAAAGCACTTGTACTGCAGAGCGCAGGCTGCGAAACCTGCAGGCTGAGAAGCACCGCAGGAACTCGCATGCTTTCGAACACTACTGCTCGAGACCGCAGCTGGAGAGCGGCAGACCGCAGGCTGAGAAGCACCGCGGGCAGAGAGACTTGCAAAACTCAGATGTCCTGATCGTCTTGGAGGAAGTCACGCCAGTCCGGCGGCTGCCAAGAATCGATGATGCGCCTGGAGCCACCGCCCGTGCTGCCGCCGATGTCCAGGTAGTCGCCATCGCCCCTGAACAGACGGCCGTGCCCGCACGCCAGAATCGCTTGGTTGCGGATTTGAAGCAGCGCTCCGCTCTCAAACATCTGCAACACGTCCAGCTGCCTGCGCGTGAAGTTCGGCTTTGCCTGGCCAGCCTGGGCAGACAGATGGAGGGAAAGCCGCTCCCCCTCGTTGTAGCGCGCGATGGCCTCGGCCTTCTGGTGGTGCAGCCGGCGCCGCTGTTGCCGCAGAGCTTCCTCGGGAACTGCTGCATCACGGCCCTCACTGTGATCAGCTTGCAACGCTTGCGTTAACCAATCAACGTCGAAGCGCCCTGAGAAGGCCAGCACCTCCCAGATCTGTTTGGTACCGGCCACACGTTGCAAATGGCGATGCCACCGCTTACGCTTCTGGTCTTTCACAAACTTGGCGACGCTACCCAGACCTGCACCCTTGGCCTGGCCACCTTTTCCCGCAGGCTGAGAAGCACCGTGAGAACCTTTCTTACCGCCTGGCCCTTTGTTCGGACCCTGCGGAACCGCATGGCCCCCTTGTGGCGCAGACTTGCCTTTCGCTTTTCCCTTTTCGATATCCCGTTCCTGAAGCGCACGCTGCTGCCGCGACTGCTCGTACTGGTCGCGAGCTACTCTGACCAATTCCTGGCGCTCAGGCTCCGTGAGAACGTAGCGCATGTCGTCGATGTTCTTGCTCCGCAGAAAGTCATGTCGAAGCTTAAGGACAGAGAGAATGGCTCGGCCAGTCTCCTCCTGAGACGCAAAGGCCGTGAGCACCGAGCACAGACTGTCCGCCGTGGCTTCCGCCTGTGATGGAGGACTTTCGGATCGTACTCCTCGTCGTACCTGTCGTCCCAAAGCGTCAGCTCCCTGTGCAAGTCGTCCGCGCGATTCTGAACGACATCCTCGACGTTCGGGACGACGGAAGCAGAACTCGGCGACCGATCCCAATGCACAGAAGACTCGCGGTCCGCCTGTACGCTGACGTCGGCGTCGGAGACGTTTTCGACGACAATTTTCCGCCTCTTGCTCTCCCCAATAGCACCAGGGAGAGTGAGCACAACCGCCACCGCATCGTGTGCGTCGTTGCGCATGCCACGATCCGTAAAAGACGCGCCAACGGCAATGGAGCAGAAACGGGCGACTGCTCCGCAGACCGCGACGTGGTCGCCTTTGAGGTCGGCCGGAGTGGCATGGACCTCCCATACCTTCTCGTCGTTCTGCTCGCGCTGGTAAGCCTCCCGCGCCTCCTGGAAAGTGAGGTTGTCGTCGCCGACTACAAGCACAACGACTGCCTCGTTTAGATTCTCAAGAATCTTGGCCAGGCCGTCCAGGTGCAAGCGGAGATGGCGAACTGTCCGCTTTCGAGTCTGGATGCTCGGCGGTTTCTTGCCGCACACGATGTGCATGTTGGCGATCACCACGTGGAACTTGTCATGGCCTGGTTTGTTCACCTCAAAATGTGAAATAACAGCATCAATATCTCGGCCGCTAGGAGGCCTGTAAACTTTGCTGTCTTCGCACAGAGTCAGTTCCGCAGGCTGAGAAGCACCGCGGAACCCCCAGAGAGTCAAGTAGTTGTCGACCTCCAAGAAGCGAATGCCATCACCGAAAGGCTTACTGAGGATCTCTGTCACGTTGATCCCTGCTCGGCGAAAGCCTTCACGGAACGCACCGACCTCGCAGCCACAGACCATATCAGCATCAGCGGTCTCCACTATCTTGGCGCACAACCTTCCGAAGTTAGCGCAGTGAGTGGCCGCCTGCTTACCAGTCATCATGCCCTGCTCGAACCCGAAATTGAACGAGGCGACCGTGAAAGACGCAGGCTGCACAGCGCCAGAACCAGGCGTCTGTCCACCTTCCTCCGCAGGCTGAGAAGCACCGCGAGGCGGCGCAGGCTGAGAAGCACCGCGAGGCGGCGACACTTCGGACGAGCCTCGCGGAGCAGAGGCTGCGGATGAACGTTGGACATGGGGGTACGGCCAGGGGAACGCCATTGCAATCAAAACTCAGTGGACTGCAGTGAATGAATGTAGTGGCCAATTGAATGCAGAGGACTGCAGTGTCACTAGCAAGTCCTGAACCAAACACAGCTGTGGCGGAAGGAATATGAAGCGTCTGGCTATTCAAAATGTTGCCCGGCAATGGAGTTCTGGGAACTCGAAGACCAGGAAGTGGACTAGAGTTGGCTCTGGGCATCCAAAATGTAGCCCAGGAATGGAGTTCTGGGAACTCGAAGAGCACGAAGTGGCTTACAGTTGGCTCCGGGCATCCAAAATGTGGCCCGGGAATGGAGTTCTGGGAAATGGAAGAACACGAAGTGGCCTACAGTTGGCTCCGGGCATCCAGAATGTGGCCCGGGAATGGCGTTCTGGGATGTCGAAGAGCACGAAGTGGCCTACAGTTGCATCCGGCCCCCCAGAATGTGGCCCGGGAATGGCGTTCTGGGATGTCGAAGAGCACGAAGTGGCCTACAGTTGCATCCGGCCCCCCAGAATGTGGCCTGGGAATGGAGTTCTGGGAAGGCGAAGAGCACGAAGTGTGTGACTGTTGGTGAAAAACGAGCCCGGCTCATGCCGCCCGGAAACGCCCCAACACCTGCCCGGACCCCCCTGTGGAGTGATCTGCTGCTCTCTTTTGATCCCACTAGAAACCTATCAGTCTTCGCTGTTAGGAAATAATTTCCAATCCTATGTTGGTTGTAAAGTAACCCATCTGGTTGTAAAGTTGTTGTTCTGGTTGTAAAGAGACCGAATCTCGGATCCCGACCCCCCCCCCATCCTTGAAGGGGGTAAGGGGGGGGGGTCCTGGACCCCCCCCCTCTAGTGTATTCAGGGAGATCCACTGGCGCACTTTCGTAAACTTGGCTAGTCCCTCACCCTTACTATGCGGGTTGACTGTAGCAGCGAAAACTGCGTACCGCCTCCGCTTCTCCCTGATCGTCCGACGGCCGCCCGTGCCGTGACGCCTCAGAAAAAGCGCCCGCGGGCCCTCCCTCCTCCAGGGTTGAGGGGGGGAGACAGCGGTGCAGCCGGACCAAGGAACGAACACACATCATTCAAGAACGTGAGACCCTCCGCAGGCCCGACACACAGAGCATCCAAGGGTACCATCCCCAGGATGCACCAGAACATCCAACAAGCATGGAGAACATTAGGGTACCCTCCCCGAACCGACTTCGATCTTGTACCTCGGTCCGACCGTAGCGGGGGGGGAGGGTGAGGGAAGACGGCAGGAGTGGGGCGGGGAGAGGATGGGGCGGGAGAGGAAATAAGGACAATGGAGCCCACAAAGGACGTACGCGCCCAACCACGTACATTAATACAGCCGCGAGTCCGCGAGACCAGCCTTGTGATATGAACGTTCGCGCAATGCGTACTCTCGAAACCAAAGTGGAGGACGGGAGGGCGACGGGAGGGCGAGGGGAGGGCGGGGATCGTGATGCTGAGGGGTGCAGGACGAGGCACAAGGGAGCGTAGCGAAGGTGCAGGGAGGATAAGGCTGAACGTGCCCACGGGAATATGAGGAGGAGGAGTAAGGGAGCAGTAGGACAAAGACTAGGAGGGCAGAAGAGGTGAGAGCTTCTCCAGGCCCCCCCAAGCAGCGGGCACCCGTACATGAGGCCAGATGCTGCAAGTAGCTGGAGAACTCGGGTCGACCACGGGGATGACTGCCGCGAGCTGCTCTGCAAAATTGATCCTTCACTCGCCAAGGCGCCGGAGCCAGGACGCCAAGTCTCCTCCAAACTCACAGCACCGAGTAACAAGGCAAACAGGGAAACGCAACTATACAAAATATTCCCCAGGAGATATGGACACTGGTCGAAAATTGTATTTCGAAAAATGTGTGGGGCCCAATCCGCAGGATTGGAGAGATTGCCTCCCAAAAATGGGCCAAGGACAAGACCGACGGAGAAGGTTAAGGACAAGGTACCAAATGCCTTGGCCTCATTCGTTTCGTCTACTAACTCACCCAAATACGTGCGGGTAACGCCGACGTTCCCACAAAAGAAGCCATCCATAACGCGCGCCCCGAATGCAACAGGTAGAGATCCAGCTGATCCAAATCCGCCGATCCCCGCTTGCCCGTGGTGGCAACGCGCGTGAGATGAGTCTAAATGGCTCCACCTGTTACCCTCCCTGGGCGTCCACAATCAAATTTCGCCGAAGCTTCGGATACGAATCTCGTTACCCTCATCCTCACTTCCATCATATCCTCACCTGTCTCGCTCGGACCGAAAGAACATGAAAGAACGGCTCAAGCCCCAGGGATATGACCGGCGCAATTGCAGAGCCAGCCAGACCGAGCAAGAGGACCGGCTTTCGGCCGATGCGGTCCGCCAGTGTCCCCCAGAAGCCAGAGAACAACACCTCACATATCGAGTAAGACCCCACAAGTCCAGCTACCCATACCGAAACACTGGGGTCACCTGGTTGTACACCGAGAAGATGCGACACCATGTGATCGGCATACGGCAAGAGAATCGTGGTGTTAATGCAGTCGACCAGATTGATGACGCAAAGCACGAGGAGTGCTTTTCGTGATAATCTCCTGCGGGTCGGTTCTGCCATCGACACCAACGCGCAAAGCCGTTCGACGAAACTGAATGAGTAACGGGGGAAGAGAAATGACTGAGAAGCTGCCTGAACTCAGAATTCGAGCCCAAATAATTTTCAATCCAACAATAGGCACATGACTGGCACTGCCGAAGTGATGACTGATCCTGGCGGCCCCAGTACCATCAGCTGGTGATGGCGATATTTGGTCTCTGGCCTCGTTGCGGGAGATCTCTAGGCGCAGACTGCAATTGCTGCAGGATGGGCCTGGATTTGCACGAGGCGCCTCCCACAATCCACCCCAGAACAACAACGCATATTCTGCAATCCACTTTCCAACAATAAACGAAGCTCATAAAAGCAAAAAGAGCTACCACCACCAGAGTTCCATAGAACTCCGATTCCGAAGGCCCCCCCCCCCCTCCGAGCTGGTGGCACTTCGTTCTGGGCACTCTCAGGGGGCGCGCCCAGAACGGGGTGCCACCAGCTCGGGTGTGGGAGCGGCCAGCCCCCCCCCCTAGCTGGTGGTGGTGGTCTGTACTTCTCTGTTGAGGGGTCATTCTATATTATCAGGTAGCCATCCTAGTGACTGGATACGTGACATAACAAGAAAAGAAGAGATGCTGACGGCCCCTTCTTGGAGGTCTCGGCTGGCGTTTTCGGTGATGCCAAGGCCTCCCACTCAAAGCTCCATACATATACTACACTCTTGGAGAATGCACACGAGCGTACTGTTCTGGACATGCTGTCTTCGTGAGCGTGCGACTCAGAGCATCTCTCTCTCTCTCTCTCTCTCTCTCTCTCTCTCTACCAACGGCAGGTTCGTGTCGTGCCAACTTCGGCAGTGGTTTCTGACACCATGGGGATCGTTTAAACCTTGGACGATCAACGTCAAATCGCTCAACATCGACCGATTCTAGGTTGCCAACGTTGAGCGCTGGCGGCGGCGCCGCCGGTCGACACGGCGCGAACCTTCCGTTTGTGCATCAACTCGTTGTCACCCATTTTGTCCCGATGTGCCTAAGTGCCTAAGCGTAAGCCTTGGTTGCACTGCCATCCCGTGTGCATCCATTTTAATTATCCCGGCAAAGCAACCTAACAGCGATGTGTAGAAGGCAAAGCAACCTATCTGAAAGCATTCCCCTTAAGATTCAGACGAAAATCCAGTTGTCGAATTCTGCTGTTCTCGCAGTCGTAGTAGCATTCGCGATGACAGTCGCAGCGGCAACGGCAGTCGCAGTCACAGCCTCAGCCTCAGCCTGCCTCCTCCTCCTCCTGCTCTTTCTCCTGCTCCTCCTCCTCCTCCTCCTCCTCCTCCTCCCTCCTGCTCGTCCTCGTTCTCGTCCTCCTCGTCTTGCTCGTCCTCCTCCTCCTGGTGCTCTCTCCTCCTCCTCCTCCTCCTCCTCCTCCTCCTGGTGGTCCTCGTTCTCCTCCTCCTGGTGCTCTCCCCCCCCCTCCTCCTCCTCGTCCTCCTCCTCCTCCTCCTCCTCGTCCTCCTTCTCCTCTTCCTCCTCCTCCTCCTCCTCCTCCTCCTCCTCCTGGTAGTCCTCCCCCTCCCCTCCTCCTCCTCCTCCTCCTCACCTCCTCTTCCTGGGCGTCCTCGTTCGTCGTCCTCCTCGTCTTGCTCGTGCTCCTGCCTCCTGGTTTCTCATCTCCTCCTCCTCCTCACTTCCTCCTTCCTGCTCACTCCTCCTCCTAGGTGGTCCTCGGTCTCCTCCTCCTCCTCCTGGTAAACTCTCCCCCCCCTCCTCCTCTTCCCCCTCCCCCTCTCCTCCTCCCCGTCCCCCTCCTCCTCCTCCTCCTCCTCCTCCTCCTCCTCCTCCTCCTCCTCCTCCTCCTCCTCCTGGTACTCCTCCCCCTCCCCTCCTCCTCCTCCTCCTCTTCCTGGTCGTCCTCCTCCTCCTGGTCGTCCTCCTCCTCCTGTTCGTCCTCCTCCTCCTCCTGCTCGTCCTTCTTCTCCTGCTCCTCCTGCTCCTCGTCCTGCTCCTGCTCGTCCTCGTCCTCCTGGTCTTGCTCGTCCTCCTCCTCGTCGTGCTCTTGCCCCTGCTGAAAATGTGGCCCAGGAATGGGAGTTCTGGGAAGTCGAAGAGCACGAAGTTGCCTACAGTTGGCTACGGGCATTCAAAATGTGGCCCGGGAATGGAGTTCTGGGAACTCGAAGAGCACGAAGTGGCCTACAGTTGGCTCCGGGCATTCAAAATGTGGCCCGGGAATGGAGTTCTGGGGACTCGAAGACACGAAGTGGCCTACAGTTGGCTCCGGGCATTCAAAATGTGGCCCGGGAATGGAGTTCTGGGAAATAGAAGAGCACGAAGTGGCCTACAGTTGGCTCCGGGCATCCAAAATGTGGCCCGGGAATGGCGTTCTGGGAACTCGAAGAGCACGTAGTGTGTGACTGTTGCATCCGGCCCCCCAGAATGTGGCCCGGGAATGGCGTTCTGGGATGTCGAAGAGCACTTTGTGTGTGACTGTTGCATCCGGCCCCCCAGAATGTGGCCTGGGAATGGAGTTCTGGGAAGGCGAAGAGCACGAAGTGTGTGACTGTTGGTGAAAAACGAGCCCGGCTCATGCCGCCCGGAAACGCCCCAACACCTGCCCGGACCCCCCTGTGGAGTGATCTGCTGCTCTCTTTTGATCCCACTAGAAACCTATCAGTCTTCGCTGTTAGGTAAAAACCTGGGCTGTTCATCGAGCCGCGCCTGCCAAGCTACAGGGATAAGCGAGTGAGCAAGGATTCCAGTGCTGGGTCAAGCAAACACGGCCAACGAAAACACCACAAACAACACATTTGCGATGGCATGTTTGGTGAGCGCTGTGTGCTGGCAAATCGCTGTAGCATTGTGCTACACGGGCTACGAGTCAACGTCGCGAGTCACAACTGTGCATGATTTGCCTGTGTGACTTGACGTCTCCAAACCAGCATGCATTACGTGTCATCATTACAGAACGGCGGTGATTGTGTGCACTGCGTGTTGGCCTTGCCCGTCTGCGCCGACTGAATACTTTGGCATACGTGCAGAACGTTGGCGACATTTTTGAACACGATATAGCGACGACCATAACGAAAGCGGCAACTGGCTTGGTCAACAACAAAAAGGCAGTAAGGCTATGCAGCAGCTACGAATGCCACAAATCGGGGTTCCACAATGGGCGGGATCTTGCAACACTGGCCGTGGCCAGTAATGGGCACACCCAGCGAGAAAGAACGTCAGAGTCACACAACAAGAGGCCAACAGCTGTGCGAAATGCGCTCGGGACTGGGGGGGGGTGAGGGAGAACGTCAGGGGGGGGGACTGGCTCAGGGAAGGGAGGCTCTCGATAGATAGCGAACGCACAAGGTCCTTTTCGGGGTGGACTTTCAGGGCCCCATCGGCGATCAATGGGGAATTGGGGGTCGATGCACCCCCCTTGAGCATGTCTCCCCTAGCGTTGCTCCTGAGATCGTCGGTGGGCTGGCAGACCAAGTGCAGGCCCAGCGTGCGTGCACTGGCCAGGAGTGCGGGCTCCTTCTGCCTCCAAGAAACAAGCGGGGCCGCCAGTTCCCCGAAACAACCTTCAGGATGGGGGCAACTCTCTCTCCCTTTTTTGATACGGCTGCTGGTGCAATTCACACGCTTTTGGAAACAACTGGTATCAAAATGCCATGACACCGGTAAACTCATGATGACCACCCCGAGGGCCAGGAATGTACCGTGTAGCCGCACGGGGGGGGGGGTCAGCTGCCGAAGCTCCGCCAACTACGCACACAAGAATGCAACATGCGAGCACCAAGAGCAACAGCCCCCTCCCCGAGGCCGACGCTCCATGAGCTCACCGCCTTCTCCCCGCACCACAACGATGACGATAACAACGATCACAGAGATCACAACGGTAACAACCACAACGATCACAACGATCGCAGCGATCACAACGGTCACGGCAATAACGATAAACAACGATAACAACAATCGTTGTGATCGTTATCGTTGTTACCGGTCGACACGTGGCCACAAGCGCGCGGAGTCAGGACCACGAGCCCCTTCGCCGAAGGCTCAGGGCCCGGCCCCGTGGAGATGCCCATAGGAGCGAGGGGCATTCCAGGCTGCAGAGCTCAAACACGAAGAGCCGAAGGGTACTGTACCCCCTCCAAAGCTAGGACTGCTCGTGATCCATGTGGCAACAATATGCGCTCGTTTCTCCTCCTTCCCTGCGCGTCCCAGCTCTGCACGCCCCCACCGTCGCTGATGGCACCCACAGCGCCGAAAGCGGTGCCAGTGACGACCTCCGAAGCGCGGCTGTGGGGCGGCGGGAGGGAGGAACCGCCTGCATCCTGGGCTGACTAAGTAATACTTGGTGGCTCTGCCGATCCGCCTTGCAGGGCTTCGAGCAATCTGGCCACTGCAAACACTTCGCATCGCATCCCAGTATACGGCCCAAGGAAACTCGCTTGGCGCCGCCGCGCCGATGTCGGCGCATTCCTCACGTAGACCGTGTCGCATGTCCCGAAGGGAGCTCCGCCTATGTGCCCATGCCCCGCGAGGAGGAACTCGCATGGCACTAAGGCGCCGATTTCAGCACATCCCTCGCGCAGATAGTGCCCCACAGGGAGCTCCTTCCATGGGCCCAGCGGAGGACCTGCGTATGGCGCAACCGCGCCCACTTCGGCGCACCCCTCACGCCGATCGGTTCCCACATAGGGAGCTCCAACCATGGGCCTGGCGGAGGAACTCCGCATGGCGTCGCCGCGCCGACTTCAGCACATCCCTCACGCGGACCATGTCCCATAGGAACCTCCACCTACCGGCCCATGCCCCCAGCGGAGGAACTCCGCATGGCGCCACCGCGCCATGGCGCCGCCGAGCCGAGCTCGGCACATCCCTCAAGCGGACCATGTCCCATAGGGAGCTCCACCTATCGGCCCATGCCCCCAGCGGAGGATGTCCGCGCGGCGCCGCCGCGCTCGTTGCGGCGCACTCCTCACGCAAACCGTGCCCCACATTGAAGCTCAGTGCGCGTCTCTCTGCGCGCCTGCTCCCAGAGCCTCCCCGGACCGCGCTGCCCCGCGAACTCTCCCTCTTGACGCAGCGCGCGATGCTCGACGAGAACGCCCGCACCCATTGCGCTAAACGGAAAAAGCGCCCAGGACGGCCCAAGAGGGCCCAAAGACGACCCCAAGAGAGGGCCCAGACGGGGGACCCGAATGGGCATCTCGAGCCCTCGGCCCCGAGGGCCCCCCAGGAGGCCCCAAGTGGCCCCCAAGAAGCCCTCAAGAGACCCGGCCCCGAGAGGCTCCCAAGAGGCTCCTAAGAGGCTCCCAAGAGGCACCAAAACTGCTCCCAAGAGGCTCCCGAGAGCACCCCGAAGAGACCCGAAGAAGAATCCCTGAGAACTCTCCGACCCACAAACCACAGACATGGCACGGTGGCGGGATGGGCCGAAGGCCACGCCAGACACTCCAGTCGAAAATACCTCGGCTACACGCATTAGTGATCCTGGGTAAGAGCGCCCTTTGGTGCGCGGTTTCTTGGGGGCCGCGGGGGGCGGAACATCAGCGCGCAAGACGCTACTATCGCATCGCGTTCGGCGATCTGGAGACCCCCATGGGCCCGCACCTAAGTTCACTGCGGCGAAAAGTCACTCTTACGTTCCGTCGAAAAAAACGCACACCCCTCTGGACAATCCGCCGGACAATCCGGACAACCCATGCCAATTCATAACGACAAGACGACCCTACCCAAACAACCCCTTGGACAACCCAGCGGGGGATCCGGACAAGCCCACCGAACAATCCCACCAGAAAATCCCACTTGGACAAGCCTCCCCGGGATTTGTTCTATAATATAGAAATGCATTATACGCAGCTGCATCAGGGTGGGCCCGCGGTCAGGTTACCTACTGCTGGGTAGCGCATGTGGCTGCCCTCTGGTCTCTGTTCCACTGGCACCATCTGGTTATGCCATCACATTTGCTACGGTGGCCAGACAAAAAAGTGTCCACACCAAAGGCACGAAAGCCATATCACGAGATGTTAAGTAACATGTTGCATAACGTGTGTTCCGCCCTCCTCCACCCAAGCCCAAAGTTGAAGTGTCCACATGTTGTCCTCTGCGCGTTGCCCCGCGTGCAGCGCCGTCAGCTTTGGGTTCGGGGTGAGGTGGCTGCCGATCTGTTGGATGCACTTCGCCGTATCGTGGCCTTTGCGCGATGGGCGTGGACCTTTGTTTTGTCCACCCACCGTGTTTGCAAGACCTGCTCAGGTAGTTATGACGCTGACGAGCTCTGTTTTATGTGAGCACATGTCAGACGAAGCCGCGAGCACGAACACCTAACACCCCCTTGATGAAAAAGCGTTCATTGGAGCGATGCGAGGCGACCAAGCCCCAGATCTCGACCCCAAAATCACTCCAAGCCAGACCCGAGAACCGCACGGCGGAACGGCACTTAGAATCGCGTACGTCTCAAAAGTGGACACACATCAGAGGAGTGGTGGAGTGGGGGGAAAAGGAAGGAGGGATGAGAGAGTGGGAAAGAATGGGGAGAATCGAGGATGCCCAAAGTGGGAGGCGTGGAGAGGAGTTGGGGGACTGTGGAGTTTGGAGGGATGGACGAGTTCGGAGGAGTGGGCAGGACTGCTGAGCTCCGATGAGTGGGGAAGGACTGTGGAAGAGCGGGGAGGAGTCCGAAGGAGCTGGGACGAGTGGGCAGAGGAGGGGGGAGGCGTGCGAATGGGTGCAAAGGAAGGCGAGGGAGGTGGGCGGAGGATTCCGGAGGAGGGTAGAGGAGTGGGGAGGAATGGAATGTGGTGGAATGGAGTTCGGCGGTGGACGGAAGAATGGGGATGAGTCCCGAGGACTGTCCCGTGGTTGCCCCGGAACTGTCCAGGCGGTCCGCGGTTGTCTTTTGGGTTGTCCCCTGGGAAGTCCCGCGGGTATCCAATGATTCCGCATGCGTGCAAATAGGCGTATGATTATGTATGTGCGAGCGCATACGCACGTGCAAACGCACGTTGAAATGCGTGCACGCATGCATGCATGTTGGTACCCACGAGGTCACTAAATACATCTAGTCGGGACGTAACTTGGCGTTGAGCTTCTCTGTTGATGATGCGAGCAATGGCACGTTCGTGTTGCAGGCAGTGCGCATCATAGCCGCAATGAACGGGCATAATTCATCGCGCTCGGCTTGCACGCTGTGTTGAGCATGACTACAAGTTCCGTCACCTCTACAGCAGAAGACAATCCCACGGTAGTGGTGTATTCCTCTTCCTATATTTTTACTGGTCTGGGGGGGGGCGGGAAAAACCGTCCCCACCCCCCACAAAAAAAAACGGACACCCGAGGGGCTTTGGGGCTCCCTGGACGCCCTTGGAAGAGGTCCTGCAGCCCTGCCGCGCCGTCCAGGGCGCGTTGCCAGGCCTTGCCCAGCAAACCCAAAGCGATCAGAGAAGCAGTCGAAGAGGCGCAGGAGCGCCCCAAGACAGCGCAAGACAGCCTCAAGACGGCCCAAGAGGCCCCCAAGACGGCCCAAGAGGCCCCCAAGACGCCTCAAGAGCCCTTCAGGAGGGCCCCCGAGAGGCGCAAATCTTCCCAGTCCCTGGGGGACACGTACATGTTCAGCAGATTCGCTTTTGGTGTCGCAGCAGCGTTCACGACGGCCCAAGAGGCCTCCGAGATCGCCCCAAGACGGCCCGAGAGGCCCCCAAGAGGGATTCAAGACAGCCCAAGAGGGCCCCAAGACTGCCCAAAAGAAGCTCACGAGGCCCAGAGGCTCATAAGAGAGACCCACGAGGGCCATGGGAGGTCCCCAGGAGGGCCCAAGATGGCCCCGAGATGACCCGTAGAGCTATGTTGCTCCCATCGTACTTAGGGACCACATCCCAGAAATAATGTCGAGCATCCAGCGCAGTATCGAAACAGTGTCGAACGAGTATCGCCTCCCAGGGTCGGACACGCAAAAACCATCATTGCGCTGGTGATCAAGAGGGACCCAAGACGGCCCAAACAGGCTTCAAAAGGACCCCCAGGACGGCCCAAAGAGGCGTCCAGGAAGCCTCCCAAGGTCCCCAAAGCCGTTGAGGGCGAATCGTAAAGCCCCCAAGAGATTCTCCAACGAGGAGCCTCCGCAAAAAGAACTGCGGCAGACGATGAACGGTTCGCAACGCCAGGCGGGAGCGAGGATGAATGATAGGAACGATGTGGAACGAGAAGGCGTTGCTTTCCATTGCCTAGCATTGCGCGACCTAGAAACTTGTGCCACGAGCGAAGCCCGTGTGGTGACCGCGCGAAGGACCCCGAACGTCACTCCATTGCATGGTCGTGCGTGTTCCAGAAAGTGTCTGTCTACGAAATACACGAAACTGACCCGAACCCCGGGTTTACAACAACATTCCCAAAAAGTCCGTGGCGAACCCGGGTTCCGGGGAATTTCCAACGCCAGGATGGCAGCGCTTGGCATTGCATTGCTTGGTATCCTGCGGCATTGCTTGACAGTGCGACATACTCAGTTTGGCATTCATTCGGGTGGCTTTTCGTCCCTCACGGGCCCACAGGCCCCTGAGGTGAACTCCCGACTCCACGATCGCTCGATGTCGGGTGCGCCTTGAGGGGAGCGAGGGGCCGCCAGCGGGCTCGCCGCCGTGCGCCGCGAGGCCACGTCGCCGTCGTCGTCGTCGTTGTCGTCGCTGACGTCGTCGCTGCTGCCGTCGTCGTCGACGTCGTTGTCGACCTCGCTGCGGTCGTCGTCGTCGTCGCTGCAGGCGTTGCCGTCGTCGTCACCGTCGTTATTGTTGTGGTCGTCGTCGGCGTGGTTTCCTGCATCGCTCCTGCATTAGTCGCCCAAGATTACCAGAGGGGCATTTTGCACCGACGGCGACGCCGCGGGAAGAGGCGGCGAAAAGGACGAGGACCAGAGAGATTTGTTTTTAAACGACGCGATGCAATTGGACAATTCCGTGACTGCAGACCCCGCCGTGCCCTCCAGGGGCCTCTTTCCCGGCAACATATTAACGGCACTGGAGATGCAGATTTCGCGAGCGGAAACCACGCTCCGTGACTGACCACGTAAACTTGAAACCCGGACAAAAGGAGAGGGGGAGGAGGGGAGGTTAGGGGAAGGGGGGAACAAGATGCTGCGTGGATAACCCCATTTGGCCTCGTCAGCCGAGCAACAAAAATCACACACAGCAGCAAGTAAGAGGAAGGGGGAGGAGCAGGACGCAAAAGTCGTGCAGTGCAGAGTTAGCTAGCAGAGCCCACGCTCCGTGAAGGACCACTTCAGCTCGTC